CTGCTGGGCAAACAGGTGCTGGAGGAGGAGGAGGAGGGCAAGTGCAGGTCCTGCCGACGGGGATGAGCTCACCACCTAGGAACGTAGCAATTACGGCATCCCTAAGAGGAGGCGGAGGCGGCCGAGCGGCACACCTGGACGCACCGGGATGGAGAGGTGGCAGCAGGACCGGCTGGGCAGCTTCGGAGGGCAGGTGAGAAGATGGTGGTGCACGGGGGCCCCGAACCTGCGAGAAGCCGAGGGGCTCTGGGACCGACACAGGAGGCTCTCCCTGCCGGCTGCAGCCTTGAGAAGCCGGCTGGGACCCCCCCTGGCCGGTCCTGCCAGGGGGGAGGAGGAGAAAAAATGGAGGTGCATCCAGGTGAGTCTCAAGCAGAGCATCGCTGGAGAGAGAGAGACGGTGTGTCTTTGAAGGCAGGAAAGGACCTTTCTGCCAATTTCTGGCAGCCAGGTCGGCAGCTGGCAGCCTCTCGGCCCAGCCCGGCCTCTTTGGGGCCAAGACGGGGAAAAAAAAGAGAAAGGAATCATTCAAATGATGTCTTTTGCATCTTTGTGTTGTTGTGCTTTTCATTGGCTGATGTCCAAACAGGCTTTGCTCTTCCCTTGGTTTCCCGGATCGGCATTTGATCCTGAAAATGGAGCCTCCCAGAGCAGCGCAGTCTATCCAAAAAGTCCAAACCCTGCAGAGCTTCTTGCCTTTCCCCTGGCTGTTTTCCCCCCCCCCCAAAAAAAACATGCTCTCCCTGCCTGTTGATTTGACGCTTGGTTCTGCTTGCTTGTTTGCTGCCAAAGTGTCATTACTTCCACATCTGGTAGGAGAAACGACACCAAGGCAGGTAGGACAGCCTGATGGGCGAAAATACACGCCGTCGAGGAGGTTTTGAGTTTTCCGAACTCTTCCCCGGCTCTCTTACAACAGTCCTGAAAGGAAAATAAACAACGCAACGGCCTTTCAGTTGTTGTTGCGCTAGGATTCTCACAACCCACGTTTTTTTTCGGAGGGAGAACAGACTGCTGGTTATTCACATCCGCTACTGTTGTGAGAGCAGCTGATTTAAAAGTTCATAGCGGGATAATTTGCCTGACATTTAATCCGTTCCTCGTCGGTGAAATAAATTTGCATTTTGGCAGACCTGCCACACAGTTTTTCAAATAGCCAGGAAAAAGGGTGACGGTAAACGTAAGAAAAGTTTAGGCAACTATTTTTTTTTGCGATAGGATAGGGTCTCCTGCTTGAGCAGGGGGTTGGACTAGAGGACCTCCAAGGTCCCTTCCAACTTTGTTATTCTGCTTTTTTCCTTCCTTCCTTCCTTCCTTCCTTCCTTCCTTCCTTCTTTCCTTCACCACTGGAGGATTTTAAAAAGAGATTGGACAACCATTTGTGTAAAATAGTGCTTGAGCAGTGGGTTGGACTAGATGACCTCCAAGGTCTCAACTCTGTCATTCTGTAATTCTGTGAGGGTCTCCTGCTTGAGCAAGGGGCTTGACTGGAAGACCTTCTGTAAAGGTCTCCTGCTCGACCAGTGGGTTGGACTAGAGGACCTCCAAGGTCCCTTCCGACTCTGTTGTTCTTATTTGGCTAAAATCCCAACAATTAAAGGGGGAAAAAAAACCCCTGTCTAGCACCCCTTGATCGTGCCTCTGTTTTGCTCAAAAGGTTCAACCCCCCCCCCCACTAATAACATGTATATACAGAAAATTACAGCCCCGTTCATAACAACCCACAAATCAGCTGCCTTTAGATGCCTCAAGGCAGGACACAACATCTGTAAGAGAAAACAAATTTTTGGACAGGTTTGGAAAGCAAATTCTGCTGCGTTTCCAGGGGGAAACTTCTCTGCCACAGAAAGGGATGAGGGCCTTTCGATATTTCTCCATTTTTTAAAACCGTTCTGAAGGCCGTGGTTCCCCTTGACGTGCGTCAAGCCGTTCGCAAGCGCAACACGACAACGCACACGCACCGAATCCAGTTGGACCCGTCAGACGAGTTGTTGCTATACACACTGTTCTCTTGCCTCACTTTTGGATAGAGGCAGCCCAACGCCAAAATAGGTCAACACACATTTGTTGCCTCCGGCGTACCTCGTGGGGGGACAATTAAGCGGAGAGAATGGGGGAACCAAAGGCAGTCATTTGGGGAGCGAGTAGCCGGATTTACGCCTAGTAGGCAGCCCGTGGTGTAGCTCGGTGGCTTTACAAGCAGTCCTCGGCTTACGCCGGCAATTGGTTTTGTGCATGCGATGAAAAAGGAAATCTTGATTTTGTTTTTGCTAATTGGATGGGTTTATTGTTAGGGAAACGGTTTGCACACCCCGTTGTGTAAAAGTAAAAAGTTGTGATTTTCTATTACTTTTTTGAATTTCTCTTTGTATTTTATATTTTGACAAACCAATAAAACTACCTTTACGAGAATGGAGGCCACAATTTCAGTCGTTAAGCAAATCTTTGCCCCCATTTCACCACCGTTCTGCCCATGGTTGTTAAATGAATCGCTGCGATTGTTAAATTAGTAACAAGGTTGTTAAGTGAATCTGGCTTGACTTGGCTTGATCACGGGACCCAGGGACACTGCGACCGTCGTAAATAGGAGTCAGTTGCCCAGCGTCCAAATTTTGATCATGCGACCATGGGGGAGGTTCAACGGTCGTAAGTGTGAAAAACGGTCACAAGTCCCTTTGTTCAGTGCTGCTATCTTCCAAATGGTCACGCCTGAACAGCCATGATTGGCTTGGCACGTCACACCAAACTGGGTTTGATGCCTCGGTTGCCAAGGGGTGGGCGTGTGCCCCACAGAGCCACAAACCTTGGTTTACAAGCTGCAGAGACAGCCCAGCCAAACCGCTACGGGTGTGTGTGTGTATGTTGTTCGTGGGAGCGAAATGTTTGGAAAACTCGACGTTCAGGCTGGCACCAGACCAGAGGGTGGAGTTGGGCTGGAGGGGGGGGGAGATTCCCCCCCCCCAAGGAGATGGAGCAGAAAACCAGGATCTGTTTTCAGCAATGTAGAGATTTTGGCAGAGGGATCCCTGTAATTTGGCTGGCAAGCCGTCTTTTTCACCCGCCCGGAGGACGGTTGTGACAGGTACTGTTCGCGAGAGCAGAAAAACAAGCCTAGGAAAAGACAGGGCTGAATCGCTCCCCTTTTTCCTCACCTCTCTGAGGACTAGCTCCTTTGTTGGGCTTTTCAACTGGGTCTGGAGGGGGGGGTGACTTTTACGGAAATCTGTCGTCCCACTCGGTGTCCGGGGAGAACCACGAATATTTTGGCGTCGTCCTTCTGAATGTTGAGACCGTTAAAAGTAGAGCTGCCCAATCTTGTCACCTTTAAGATGGGGGGGACTTCAATTCCCAGAATTCCACTTCATGGACTGCAATTCCCACAGTTCCCCAGCCAGCCTGGAATTCTGGGAGTCGAAGTCCACCCATTTTAAAGCCGCTAAGGTTGAGAAAGACTGCTCTAGAGGAAGGTTAGAGGGATAATTGCTCCTTGGGAGAGCCAAATGCACTTTGTCCATGCTCAGAGACCATTAAGACTCTTTTTCCGTTTTTCATGTGTATATGATTCTTCCATATGGGGACGTTTTCTCTCCCCAGTGTTTTTCCACCTTGGTAGATTGACTCCCAGAATCCCCCAGCCTATCTTCATGGACTGCAACTCCCAGGGTTCCCAGCCCGCATGGAATCCTGGGAGTCGAAGTCCAACAGCCAAGGTTGGAAAAAACGCTGCTTCCAGGGAGCTTTTTAAATAAATTTAATTCCTGTTTATTCAGTTTAGATGGCCGTCCAACTCAGCTGAACGGGATTGAACCCCGGACCCTCCTTGCAGCCCTAGGACCCAACGTGATAATTGTCACCGAGTGTTGGGTGGCAAAGAATTTTATGAAATTGTTGTCATTCCATGCAAAAGCTGATGCTGCCGGTGCTTTATGGTTATTGTTATTCTAGACAAGGCAGGAAACGGTGTTAAGGCGGACATTTTGTGGAAAAAGCAATAAAATGAGAAAAAACACCTGGAGGTCCGGGCAGCACCACACCTATCTGCCCTCAGTAACCCCCCCTCCCGGGGGGGGAATCTCCTTGGGGGTTTCCGTTGGAGGCGGTGGTGCTTTCTGACCCAATTTTGACACAATTTTGACACGATGATGGACAGGCAGGAAGGAGCCTTTCCGAAGGGCTTTAATTATGATTTTTCAAGTGTTTTGCCAATGCTGTTTTTATTATTTTTTTCCTCCATTCCTCTCCCCACCCTCAACATCTGGGTGTTATTCGTATCTTCAAATGCACAAATTGCCTGCCTTGCCAACGGCCTTCCTTGTTTCTCGAACCCATAAAAGTGACAATATTTGCAAAACATTTTTGTTTCTTTCCAAAATAAACCAAACAAATCCAGACAAATCCATTCAGCCCCTTCCATGCAGGGGCTGCTCCTAACTGAGGCTCTTGGTTGGAGGCTGGAGCAGATGGAGGGCCCCACCGCAGGGGGTCTCACTCCAGTTCCCATGATGCACAGCCCTGGCTGGCTGTGGACGATGGGCACCGTGGCCCAGCAGCTGAGCCATTTTTTTCCCCCCCACTTCTTTCCATCGCTTTTTTTTGTTTTTGTTTTTGTTCCGTCTCCCCTTCCTCAATTTACACCCGTTGCTAACTTCAAAAGTTAATAAATTGTCAAAGAAAGGGGGGGAAAAAAACCACATAAATGAGAACACTAGAGGACAAGGCGCATGCGCGCGTGCAGGGAGATGAAGGGGCGGAGCCCGAGGAGGATCTTCTCCTCCCCCCCCCACCCGCGGCGCGAGGCCTCCAGGAAATCGACCAACCACCTTCCAGCAGGGGCGTGGCCGGCCGCCGCCAGCGTGAGGCGGAAGGGAGGAAAAAAAAAAAAAAAGGCGTGACTTGGAGCGGCTCGGAACGCTGGCGACGTCAGGAGGGGCGTGGCCGGTATATAAGCGGCGGGCGTGGCTGTCTCCGCCTCAGTTGCGCCGGGGCGTCGCGGCGGAGATGAGCGCCGCGTTCGGTCTGTGCACGTTGGTGCAGCTGCAGCCGGGGGACGAGCGGCCGGTAAGCGAGCATGTGCGTCTTAATTTTAGCAATTGCATATTTTTTTTTTTTTTGCAATTGCTAAGAGAATCTTTGCTTTGGGTTTGAAAAGCGCCGAAGCGAGCGCCGTCTTTTGCAAAGTCCTGGGAAGTGACGTGCATCAGATAATGAAGTAGTAGAGCACAGAAAAAAAGACCTTTTGCAATGTCTGTCTACATCTATTGCAATGTGTGCCTTGCGACGTTTAGTGACGGCTCAAAAGCGGGCCAAAAGTCGGATTTCATTTTATTTAAGCAAGCTTTAGCCAGCTGCCACCTTCCTTTGAGTTATGTGCCTGCAGTGCAGCGTGGAGAGCCGCCAAAGGGGACCCATTTCCTGGGTGGATCCAGGCGGGGAATCCGGTGCCTTTTCCTCGCGAAGAACCCCGGAAGGGGGAAGCAAGGGCCCGTGTCGGGGGCTCGGGGTACCCCTGACCATGTGCAGAGTTCCTTCTCCTCCCGGGAGAGGAGAGGTTTTGCGTGAGGACTCCCACATCCCTGAGCCTTGAGCGAGCTTGTTTGGTCGCGGTGACTTATGGTGGATGGATTTTTCTGCTTGCACCCCCCATCTTCCCAGCACAAAAGTTGCATTTTTTCTCCTTGGAATTGACCCCCCTCCCCAGAAATTGCATCGCGGTTTAGGATAGGCTTCGTCCCGTGTTCCTTGATCCCCAAAGTCTGCCCTGGAAATTGCATGATGGAAACCTTTGCTGAGGATGTTAAAGAGACCCACACAAAAAAAAAAGCACAAAAGTGGATTTTATTTCATATGTACTTAAATGCTGCTTCTCTTTTCCTTTCAGCATCGATTCTGGATTCAAATTCATCTGGATCCTGAATCTGGTGGTGAAGCCACTGGAGGGGGGGGGGTTAGGAACGTGACCCTGTGTAGGTTCACTTTTGCAGTCTTAAAATGGGAAAAGAATTCGGAATAAACTGCGATGGATGCCTTGCTCAACCAGGTCTCCATGGCAGGCATGGATGTGCCGCAGCTGTCTTTTTACATAACATCTGAGAATCTGTGTGTGTTTGTATGTGTACATTTCCAAGCAGGGTGTGTGCAGATAAAACTCGGGTCGGTCCCTGGCATGGTTTGGAAAATTGAGGAGTTGTGTGGTTGAATTTCATTGAATTATATATATCCCTTTCGGTTCGGTAGGTCTGGAGAGCAAATGCCTGGATCTTTTTGGAAATTTATTTTTATTTTATTTTATCATATCTACGACCCTCCCCATCTCCCTTTCAGAGGGACTCTGGACGGTGTCAAATAAAATAACTCCCGAATAAGACCCTGATGGGCGTACGCCAGGCAAAATGTTAGATGTAGCCAAACTCTATAAATTAAAGATAGCTCTTTTGGTGCAGTTACAAATCATTGAGATCTGTTAATTATCTTTTATCTGTCTGTGGTTCGTCAAATAATTTAATTGGGCCTGAATTATTTCAGAGGGGATTAAAAAAAAGAGATGGCACTCTTAAGCACATTTTGTATTAAAGATGGATCCCCCCCCCATGTATAAACACAGTGATTGCTCATTGACTCTTATAAACCATCCCTGTGTTTATCTCTCTTTTAGGATAAAAGGAAATAGCTTTTAAGGAACCCCCTAGATTGATGCTCAAAATACTGCAAAGTTTTGAGTCTTGCAACACTGCTTCTCAGATCACTGAGGGGGAAGGTTGCATATTAACCAGGTATCTGCAGTTTAAAAAGCCTGCCCTTAAATGGAAATTAGATGGAGTGCCTGGCTTTTACAGCCAGGGTGTCAGGTTGCCTCTTTCCTTGGAAGGACAAAGAAAAACAATTCTGAAAATAACAAAGATGATTAATTCTGAGGCTGCTACCTCACCAGGTGAAACTCACAGGTTCCCCGCCCGCCCGGCTCAGAGGGAAAATAATGACACATTTTGGGGTTGGGGGTCCAGGCCTCCGTCAGCTTGGGGTGAGGCAGAATTCGATGGATCCCAATTTCAGTTAGTCCTCGCCTTAACGACCTTCCTTGCCACAGTTCAGTAAAGCACTGCAGTCGTTAAAATTAGTATCAACAGCGGGGCCAAAATCCAATATTGGCTTTTCTGCTCAAAGTGGCTCCATTGATTAAATTTTTTCTCCCAGGGATAAAATAGTTTGCAGAACTCCACCCCTCCTTAAAACTGAGCTGATAAACACGCCGGTATCTGGATAGTGTCATCTCTTGAAAATGCAGTGGGTGTTGATGGTCTCTGTCTCTCCTTCCCCCCACAGCCATCTGCATTTTTCCCACCCGGATTCTTGGAATATTATTTCAAGCAAAAATCGGGGGCTCCAACTTTCTTAAAACCTGGCACAAAAATTTAGCTGACCTCCTTCCATTTTGCCCGCTCTTCTTTCTAGGTTTAATTGCAGACACCCCTTCCTCTTCTTTCCTCCACTCTTGAAGTAAAAAAGGACCTCTGAACATGCACAGAGTGTGTTTGCTCTTCTTTCGTGTTGGGTGCCTGACCCCCGCATCCAGGCTTGAAAATAAGAGTTTGTGGGTGGCCCAGTCCAATATCGCTGAGCTGTTTTTATAGACATAGTTTTGAAAGAAACTTAAGACAAAACTCTGAATAATCCAGCTTGTTACAGGCCAAAATTATTAGCTGTAATTAGGAGACGAGAAAGAGCGACTTAAAAAAAGAATGAGGTGATGAGTTACAGCTTTCAACAGTGTTGGATAGGTTTTTTTTTTTAATACCTGCCATCTTGCAGAGATGTTCAGCCTGGATTTGGTGTGCCTGGCTGAGGAATTCTGGGAGTTGAAGTCCACAAGTCATAAAAGGGCCAAATTTGAAGGCCCCTGGTCTAAGGTCTCCTGTCTTGAACCAAGGGGTTAGACTAGAAGACCTCTAAGGTCTCTTCCAGCCCTATGGTTCTATCTTGAGTTGCATTTGAGTTGATTTTTTCTGCTCCTGGTTTGGAGCAAAGGAACCATTTTCATATCTCCTAGACCTGGCTAATTTTATTTATTTCTTTCTCAGCAGATAGACTTCCCAGTGTATTTATTTATCCATCATACTTATGTTGCTCAGTCACTCGAGGCTTTCAAAAACAGTCCAGAATGGTCTACTCTAGGGTCTCCTGGTTGAGCAGGGGGTTGGAGTAGAAGACCTCCAAGGTCCCCTCCAACTCTTGTTATTCTGCGTTCTATGCTCGTGGGGTCCAATTAAGATAGCCTTTATCGTCATTTTTCTGCACACGCAACAGCAGTGAATGACAAACCATGGAGGTTTGGATCTGGCTTATGTTGAGTGGAAACTTCTGCTAATTTTCTCTAGAAGGTCCTCTTTGACGTTAAGGCCGCCTAACAAAGGATCCAGGCGTATTTTTGATTCTTCCTGGAACCCAACGAAATAAAAAAGGCCTAATTGTCTCGACTTAATGTGTTCTTGGATGCTGTCGGACTTTCTTCTTTTCTCGGCACCCGGTCAAAGTCTTGCCAAAACGGAGCAGTTGGGTTTTCACGGAAGGTCAGACGGGAAGAAAAATGACTTAACAAAGCTCACTACACACCAGAACAGCTCCTAGTTGGGGGGGGGTTGTTGCCTGCGAATTGCTGTCGCTTGATCCTATCTTGAGTTGTAAATCGTAGACAACCGGGGTGTTTTGACAGCTCTGCCCCTTGTTGGAAAGCAAAGTTGTCTTGCAGGTTTTTGGAGAGCGGAGATTGCAACCCGGTGTGCACTTAGGCGAAAAGGGTGTGTGTGTGAAGTGAATCTGAAATGGCTCCTTGTGTTTTTGTGTGTGTGTGTGTGAAGGCCCTGTTTGCTATTGTCATTCGTCAGCTTGCTTTTTTCCAGATGTGTTGGACTGGAGACCTGGATCTCAGCTTGAATCTCTGGAGGAAAACAATTTATGAGAAGATGGCCAAGACAGCTTTTGTACTTTTGGGGGTACAGGGGGGGGGTGTCTCTCGTTGGCATCTTCGGGATGTTGCCAGTGGGAATTGACTGGGGAGAGATTTGCACTGGAAAGGAAGGAAGGAAGGAAAGGAAGGAAGGAAAGAAGCAAGGAAGGAAGAAAGAAAGAAAGAGAAGAAAGAAAGAGAAAGAGAGTTCAATTCACTAACCAGGTTAATGAAGCACCGTTCCTTGTTGCTCCGTGCGGCTAAAATGCGAAACAAGATGGTCAAACACCGATCAGATAAAGGGTGGAGCTTGGCAGAATGCTGGGCTTGCCTTATAGATTAGATTAGTTTGAACCCAGTTTTTGATGATCTGTGTTGCTGCAAACCTGGTTTGCTTTGAATTGTATTAAAAAGGTTCCCATGATAAAAATACAAGAAAGTGAAAAAGTTGGAAAGGAAAGGAAAGGAAGGAAGGAAGGAGAAAAAAGAAATGAAAGGAAGACAAAAGGAAGGAAGAAAAAGAAAGAAAGGCAGTGAAAGAGAGGGAAGGAAGGACTTTTTTGAGGGCAGTAATACCAAAAAACCATTCTCTCCTCGGCTGTTTGCTCCGTGTTTCAACCCATTTCTATGACAACAAACCTATTCTAATCCTCAAAACATAGGTTTTGTGTTTTTCCCCACCCCTAGTTTCCAGGCTAAAGTCCAGAAGTGGTTTCCGAGCAGACGGGAACTTTAATAAAACTTTGGACTCGTGCTGGGTGGGGATTCCATAGAAGTTTAGCGGAAGAATCACTGCTCTTCTCCCGCTTTGGCAGAGCAAACCAGACATTAGCGGTTAGGCCACAGACCGACTTCCCCTTTTTTGATCTCTTTGGTTAACGTAGGAAACCCTCAGTGGACCTACTCTTGGCTCAGCCTGCGGTGAATCAACCCTGCGGGCTGCATAATTTTCCGTGGGAGTATTTCCTAATGACCAAAGAACATTTATTTTTCTTTTAATGCTTGAGACAGAATCGTGTTTTTTTTTAATTAAAAGAACCTGCCTTTTTCCTCATTTTTTCACACCTCTATTGGAAGGATTTACCCCTAAATAATAAAACCTTACTAACTGGGCAGAAACGGCTTCTCTTAAATCAGCGTTGATCAAACGTGGGCCCTTTAAGAGTTGCGGACTTCAACTCCCACACCTGGCTGGGGAATTCTGGGAGTTGAAGTCTGCACCTCTTAAAGGGCCCACGCTTGAGAAACACGGACTTAACAAATGTCCGGGATTTATGGGCCCTTCTGGCTAAGAGTATCCGGCAGGGGAGCATGGGATCCTCCTGTGGCTGAAAATCTACCCTGTGTGTGTTATAAAACCAGGAAAAGTCTGCAAGGGATCAGCCCCCAAATTCCCAGGAATTCCCTTCTATTTTTCCAGGATTTGTTGACCCTGCTGTCCTGTATCAGATCAAGGCTTGGGGTCGGGGGCTTCCCCGGCTGCCCCCCACACACGCTTCTCCTCCTCTTCCTCCACCTTCTCTTTGCGGTGGGCTGCAATCCAACGTGGCAGGCAGCCGATAGGAGTGACTCACCTGTGCTTGCCAGATATTGGCTGGGTGCCTTTTCCACTCTCATATTTGGCAAGGTTGCGTTGTCCTGCGTGTTAACTTTTATTTGTTTGCCTGATGGCTTCTGGAGATACGGAGGCAGTGACGCCATTCGGGAAAGGTGTCAGTCCATTAGCCATGATGATAAGGAAAACTTGCCTTCGTCTCTGCCCGGCTCAAGCGTAGTTTTAAACGGGCAAAGGGATTTATTTTATTTTATTTTCATCCAGTGGTCAAAACACTTTATGGAAATCACCAAGGGGTCAGTCCCTGGTGTGGTTGACAATTGATGTGGCCCCGCAGAGGTCAACCCCCCTGCCAGAAACGACATCCCAAAGCCGATGAGGGGAAAGTTCTGTTCCAAAAAGGGTCCTTGAGCTGCGACCAAATTGTGCCTCAGATTTCTGTAGCTAAGAGACATTTGTTAAGTGAGTTTTGCTCCCTTTTACGACCTTTCTTGTCACTGTTAAGAGAATCAATGCAATTGATAAGTCAGTAACCCGGTTTGTTAGGCGAATGTGGCTTCCCCATTGACTTTGATGTCAGCAAAGGACATCATAAATGTGAGTCAGTGGGCTAGTGTCCGAATTTTGATCCCATAAGAGGATGCTGTGAAGGTCATGCGAAAAAATGGTCCCTTTTTTTCAATGCCATTGTAACTTCGAACGGTCACTAAACCAACGGTTGTAAGTTGAGGACCACCTGCAAATTAGCCATAATCCAGGGGAGGCAGGCCTCATAGGAAGCGGCCACATCATCCATGTTGGATGGGAACATCTGGCAGGAGAAACACCTGGCAGCTTATCTGCATAGGGAAATGAGGTTCCCACGCCTAATTTCAGCCCCAGCCTTATTTGCATATCATTTTTTATCTCGGTTCTCCTCCGTCTCCCCCACTGCTGGCGCTTTGCAAACGTCAGACTCTCTGCGACGGGAAGTTTTGCATTGTCTTCCTCTCGCCTCGATCCCAGTCCCAAAGAGGGATATATTTTCCCTTTCTGCTTAGAGACTCCCCCAGAGTGGGACGGCCAATAAATTAAAATAAATAACACATTTGCATAAGTATTAGCCAAACCGCCCTAATTGCCTCTCTTTCCATCTCCCCCTTTTACAGGACAGCGTCAAAGTTTTAAGACTGACCCTGCAGAATGACCTTCCGGGGGACCGGCCTGACCAAGTAAAGCAAAAGGTATGTGCCAACCAGCCCTGCGAGGTAGGCCAGCCCTTGTTTCTGCAGCGTCTGTTCTTTTCTCTCTCTTTTTTTGGAAGAATTTCAACAGCTGGAACGCCCGGCTTCTCAGTCTTCAGCGTGATCACTTTAAGGCTGGTGGACTTCGATTCCCAGCATTCTTCAGACCAGAGAATTCTGGGAGTTGAAGTCCACGAGTCTTAAAAGTGGCCAAGGTGGGTTGGGCATCCTTGGTCTAAAGAAAACCTGGGTGGTTTTGAGTTTCTTGCTCACTCCGACCTGGAGGGTGGGAGGGGAATGGGTGGATTTTGGGGTCTAGCTCTGCCCTCTTAACTCTTGCTCCGTGTCTTCTCGCCGCAGCCGGTGGGAAAAGCCTTCGCGATGGTGGCCAACCGGGCCACGAGCAGCCACGCCTTGACGTCCGAATGCATCAAGTCTAACGAGGGCGACGAGGAGATAATTAAGGTGAGAGGTTTTCCAGGAGATGCCCTCCCTCCCTCCCTTCTGTTGTGACTTTATAAACAGTCGCTAAATGAATCAAGTCGAGGACTACCTGCATTTAATTAAAAAAAAATTCAGGAAGAAAATATAGTTTTGTGTTTTTTTTGCCTCCTTCCTGGCTTCCAGCCGGCTCTTGAATTTTGCCTCCGGAGACCAGCAGCAAAAGACACATTTTTTGCAAGGATGGTTTTTGTGTGCTAAGCGGCCCAGGGTGCCGTTTGTTTTGCAGAACCGGTGCAGCCTGCTTTTTAGGGTGCTGAGGGTGTGTGTTTCAGTGTGTGTGTGTGTGTGTACATGTGTATTTTCAAGCTCCCTGCCTCCTCGTTTCCTAATCCCAGTTTTTGTGCACCGTTGTGGCACAGCCCAGGAAAGATCGGTCTTGCCTGGTCTGGCTTTTCCCCCCCTTTTCTCTCTCTCTCTCTCTCTCTCTCTCCAATGGGTGTTGTGGTTTCTCCTGTTGTGACTCAGGTGTACCTGAAAGCCCGGGCCGAAGACAGGGCGAAGAACGGCAACGGCCCCTCTCCGTTGACAAACGACAACTCTCATCCTGCAGAGGTGATTAACGCTTTTCGTCATGGCACCCCAGCCACCAAAATTGGGGAGAGGCCGGTTGCCAAAAGAAGCTGACGTTTTGGAAAAATCTGAATAGCCTCCCTTGGCTGCTTGGACCAGGTTTTCGAACTTTTCCTGCCCTGTTAGTTTAAAATAAAAAAAACAACACAAAATCCCCAGCACCCTGCTTGAGAGACTGAGCTGCAGCAGTAGAAAACCAGAACAAAACAGAATAAGAGAGCTGGGAGGGACCTTGGAGGTCTTCTAGTCCAGCCCCCTGCTCAAGCAGGAGACCCAATGCCATGGCTGTCCAGCCTCTTTTTGAAAACCTCCAGTGATGGCGCACCCACAACTTCTGGAGGCAGGCAGTTCCACTGGTTAATTGTCCTCAGTGTCAGGAAGTTTCTCCTTAGTTCCAGGTTGCTTCTCTCCTTGGTTAGTTTCCATTCATTGCT